GCTTAGAGTTCATTTGAATGTTACTGTATGAAACCGAAGTGCAGTATTTACTGATGACCATACTTGCATCATGACACTCGAGACCTGCTTAACCTCCAAATGTTTCTGTGCCTTCGCCACTTTTTCCTTCCTTTTTCTCGTCGTCTCACAGACGTCGCACTGCCTGTCTCGAGTTCTGTGCACAGCAAGAGCTGGCCACACGGCCCTGCGGAACTGCAGGGGGCTGGGAAGAGGAGTATTTGGTGGGGACTGTACCGGCTTGCTCTTTCTGTGTGCTTCCATTTCCCATGTTTGGGATCTTAAAAGCTGAACTTTAGCTGAACGCAATGAAGATTTACTTTCTGGCAGGAGACTTTGCAGTTCTTGTGACACACTGAATATTTTAGAAAATTTGGATATAGGAAATAACTTTCAGGGATACTGATTCCACAGTGATGGAAATCAGCTTGATTCAAAAATGGTGATGGGGGACCAGCACTTACCATAATGGCTATGTCGCTGAACTCCCATGTAGTCGAATGCGATTCAAGCCCCAGACCTGGTGGCTTAAACTCACGCCGGGTGTGTGTGTGTGCATGCCCATGATCCCAAGTGGAGAATGGAGGAGAAGGGATTGCGGTGTGGCCATCCCCCCTGGAAGGTGATTTCTTGCTTCCTGTCTCTCTGGTGAGCGCACACACCCTGTAGCAAAAAAATAAATAAATAAAAATGGTGATGGCAGTATTCTTCAATTAAAAGTGGCTAAATACCGGGACCAGCAGTTAGCGTAATGGCTATGTCGCTGGACTCCCATGTAGTCGACTGCGGTTTACGTCCTGGACCCGGTGGCTTAAAACTCACACCAGGCGCATGTGCATGCATGCCCAAGATCCCGAGAGGAGAATGGAGGAGAAGGGATTGCGGCGTGGCCATCCCTCCTGAAGGGTGATTTCTCGCTTTCTGTCTCTCTGTCTCTCTCTGTCTGTCTGGCTAGCGCACATGCCCTATAGCAAAATCCTCTCCAAAAAAAAAAAAGTGGCTAATACCTTAGTGTTGAGCTCCATTTTACAATGAGCATGTCAGAAACAGGTCAGGAATTGGGCAAAGCTGTAGAGGGCAATGTCAGAACGGGGAGACAGCAGCCATAGTGTCTGCATCTGCGTCTGTGTCTGCGTCTGCTTTTATGGCCTTGGCAGGGGGTGCATGGCGACTGTTCTGGAAAAGCCCATTTCTTTTCCTTTCCCTCCACTCCTGGTCACATTCTTTTGTTTTGATCTCTGAGAGTCATTCCAACTCTCTATCATTCTGGAACCTTTTACTTCCTGCCAGGGCTATTTCTTTCTGCTTATCTCAAAACTCTCCAATGTCTTTAATAACAAGGCTTTCAGGGTGACATGTATCAAATCCTTTAAGCAGCTTGCTTTAACAGACAGTCCAGAAGATGAAGTTTGCATCTGCATTAAAGTTCGCGGGCACCTCCCCTTCCGTGTGTGCGTGCTTGGAGGTCACACACCCACCGAGGGGAACAGCAAGTTTGGGTCTTCCCCAAGGAAACCCCACTTTTATAGTAAGCCAGTGCAGGGAAGAGCTGTCGAATACCTTTATGCTGTATATCCTGCCCTCCCAGCCCTGACCCTGACAGTCCACCATGGCCACCTGTTAGCACATCTCAGATGGCGCCCACACCATCTCCCAGGTGCACACCAACTCTTCTGGTTGGGCAACCCGCACAGTAACAAGCACCCACTGCATGTTCCAAACCTGTACTGTGAGTGCTGTCTAAAAAAGATACACGCACCACTCTATAGTCAAAGAAGGGGCCATTGGTTGTCCTTGAGAAAAGGACATTTTTAAGCTGCGTCCTTGGGACCAGCAGTTAGCGTAATGGCTATGTCGCTGGACTCCCACGTAGTCGATCACAGTTCGCGTCCTGGACCCGGTGGCTTAAAAAACTCACGCCGGGGGAACCAGCAGTTGGCGTAATGGCTATGTCGCTGGACTCCCACGTAGTCGACCACCGTTTGCGTCCCGGACCTGGTGGCTTAAAACTCATGCCGGGCGCATGTGCGTGCATGCCCAAGATCCCGAGAGGAGAATGGAGGAGAAGGGATTGCGGCGTGACCATCCCCCCCTGGGGGGTGATTTCTCACTTTCTGTCTCTATGTCTCTCTCTCTGTCTGGCGAGCACACGCGCCCTATAGCTAAAACCTCTAAAAAAATAAATAAATAAGCTGCATTCTTGCTTGCCCTACTCAAAAATGACCAAGTCTGAACTCACATCCCCACCTGGAACAACTTTCCGTGTTACACACTCAGTACCTGTGAAGTCACCAATGTCAGGGGAACTCCTAGAGAGGAGGTGCACTTGTGTGGGAAGGGGTGCTCCTTGGAATTCGTCCGTGGGGTTAATTTACAGATGGTGGTTCAGGGTGCCCCAAATCGTACCATTAGTGCTTTATGATGGGAGCCTGGAAAGCAAAGTAGAGTTTTGTGGCCTAGCATGGGAGCTGGCTCTCATTTGCATTCCCAAGGACAAACTTACCATCTTTTGGAACATATCTTACTCATAATTTGGGGACTGCCTCTAGTATGTGCATCCCAACTATTAAAACTCTTCATGGGCCAGCAGGTGGGATGATTCCGCAAGGCTGACTGCACAGTTCAGGTCCTGGGCCCATTGCCTTAAAAACCATGCCAGGTGCATGTGCACGTGCATGAGTGCCCAAACCCTAAGACTAGAGGAGAAGGGATTGCAGCGCGGTCATCTCCCGGGGGGGTGACTTCTCACTTCGTCTCTTTTTCTCTGTCTTTCTCTCTTTGGTGAGTATACATGCCCTATAGCAAAAACTTAAGAAAAAAATAAAAAGAACCTCTTTGTATACTAGAATACTGTTTTTGTTGCTAAACCATCAGTTATTACCTAAAGCAAATGCTTACCTTTCAACAGGAATATTTTCTCTGCTGCTTCTGAGGTGCCGGCTATGTGGTACTATTCTAACAGCCCTAAGTAATATGTCTGCAGTAACTAAAAGCATACAGCTTATAAAGAACCCTCTACTTCACCTGAAATTTCCGTTTGTTCATTTAGCAGTTGGAATATTAAGCTGGCAAGCTCTCAGTCAAAGCTATACTTCAGGAAGTATTTAAGTGTTTACAGGCCAAAAAGGATGGGGGAAACAGTTTATTGAGTACACAGTGCGTGCAACTCACGGGACACACTTATATTGCACAGAGAAACCCCCATCATAGAGTTTTACAGGGTACCACCAATTATAACGTAGCAAGCAAGATCCTTCCTTCCAGGACCTACCAGTGACTTATGTTCTTGCTAACATAAGCATGTAACCTGAGTGTCATCCAGCACTCTGCTACTAGGTGTCCCGACCCGCAGGACAGTCGGGTCATCTGGAGATCATGGGCCAGGGATTGTGGTTCTATACATGCTGGTGGACAGTGATTGGTTAAATGAAGGATTGTAAAAGATGGGTTATGATTGGTTCCTTTTGTGGACCAATCATGAGGTTCCAGATATGCAAATCTGAGGGATTCTAAGCTCACCGATTTGCTATGGGAAGTGGCCAATCAGAGTATGGTTTTGAAGGTGAGGCTTTGAAGAGGAGCCAATTGTGGCCTTTATGGGAAGTGGCCAATCAGAGTATGGTTTTGAAGGGGAGGTTTTGAAGGGGAGCCAATTGTGGCCTTTGGCATTGTGTAATTGTTTGCTTTCTGAGAAACTGAAACCCAATGACCTCGGCAGATTCGCTGGTGTGCAGCCTCCCACAACTAGGATGTACAATGTTTGCAGTGGTTTAGAACTTAGGGCAAAAGCCAGCAGGTGGCATGTGGTTAAGGCACTGAACTCCCACATGGCCGACCGACCATGGTTTGAGTCCCAGATCTAGTGGCTCATTTTCTCACTTTCACTCTCCTCCTCTCTCTCTGATCAAATTGAATAATAATAATAATAATAAGTTATTTTTTAATAAAAAGAACCTAGGGCAATACAGGCTTTTTTTTGGGGGGGGGGATTATTTAATTTTATTAACACTATAATTATTTTAAAATTTGTTATAGGGTATATGTGCTCAACAGAGAGAGAGGGAAAGTGAGAAATCAAGTCACCAGGTCTAGGACTGGAACCATGGTCGGCCATGTGGGAGTCCAGGACTCCAACCACCATGCCACCTACTGGCCCCTCACAGGCCTTTTTAACTATTCAGATGAGTGGTATCTCCTGAATGGCTATAATGGAGGAGATACAGGTATAAGACACAGTTACCTTTTTAACAATGAGCCTGTCTTTTCATTCAAGTAACGCAGGATCAACGGTGACTTCACCTAATGAGCAGTTAGAGGAGTTGCAGGTTGAACTAAACAGGTCCACCACAGCATCCTTCTTCTCCTGAACCTTGTTTAAATTTCCTTTGTGCATTTAACTAAATTAATTAGTAAATTATTTGCAAAATAATTAACTTGTGAAAGAGTACATGAAGCAAAAATATGCATTCACATTTTTACTCCCAGTCTCTTAAGAGCAAAGGGTTTTGGAGTCAGTTAGAATTAAGTGCAAATCTTAACTGTCACCGTAAGTACTTGGGTGACCCTGGGGAAGTCACGTAAGCCCTCTGGGCCTCAGTCTTCTCGTCTTTAAAATGGCATTAATAATACTACATTAAATGAGTGAATGACCTGGCCCTGTAGCCTGTGGTTAAGAGAGTTGGATCCCACACGGCTGACTAGGAGTTCAAGTCCCAGCCCCAGCAGCTTGAAACACAGGCTGTACAGTCCGTGTGCATGCCTTATGCTCTGACAGCATGGTGAAAGGAAAAGGGCTTGCTGTATGCCCAGACCCATTGGGAGGTGCTTCTCCCTCTTGCTCTGTCCCTGGGGAGCATTCACGCATGCCCTGTGGAAGTATCCATAAATAAATAACAAGTGAGCTAATGTGCACACGTTTCTTAGCGCAGAGTAAGCGTTTAGTAAAAAGCTAGATTTAATTATTATCCTTTATTAACGGTCCACCCTTGTAAGTCTGTCGGTGTTGCAGTGACCCCTGCCAGGACAGATGAGATGAAGCGGCTGTCCTCCTGGCAGCACCGCCCCCTTGGGGTTCCAGATCCCAGGACCCCCCCTTCCCACCCCTCCCCCCCGCATGCCCTATGCTCCCCTGTCGGCCCTGTAGACTTTTACAGAATGGGATGCAGCGTCCAGCACAAGCAGAGAATTGTCCTTCGCGAAGGTCAGTGCCACAGGACGGGAAAGACCCAGTGCGACCACAGGCCTAGGCGCTGGAGACGACTCGGGTTGTCCCAGGCACACGACGGCGGGACCCGAGGTATCTGCAACAGTCACGTTCCCCTGCTGATCGAAGGTCACGGCAGAGACAGTTATCTCGGAGGGAAAGAAGAGGCTCAGCCCGAAGGTATCCACCTGGCTGATGAGCTGCATATCTGCACTAAACACCTTCACCCTGGTGCCGCGGGCCCCAGGTCCCAGGACTGGGGGGTGCTCCAGGACTGCAGTGGCCCCGGTGAGCCAAGACACAGCCACACCGCGGGGACTGCACAGTTGGCCTTGCAACCTTTCAGTTCTCCGAAGGACCCCTTCTGGGAAGTCCACTTCCAGGAGGTGCAGGGACCCGGCCTCGGCATCGGTTACCATGACCCCATTCTGAGGGGTGGTCTCCACTCCCCACGGTAAGGAGAACTGGCCTCTGATGACGAGCTTGATCTGGCCAAAAAAGTCAAACACCTTGATGGAGCGGTCGCCGGCGTCGGTTACAACCAAGTGGCAGTCGTCGGTGACGGTGACATCCACCGGGTACCGAATATCCTGGGCGGCGTCCCCCTTCTCTCCAAACTGATGTGCACACCCTCCCCCGGAGTCGAAGATCTTGACCCGCCTCTTGCCGTCGTGTACCACCACGACTCGCCCTGTCTTGGGACACAGCGCCAGACCTGTGGGGTTGACCAGGGTCCCCCAGCCTCCGAAGGTGTGGCTGCAGATGAGGGTCCCGGGGGCGCAGGGAACGGCGGGAGGAGCCGAGGCCGCTGGGCGGAGCGCAGAGCCCAGGAGCTCCAGGAAGTGCAGCACAGGCAGGCAGTCGCTGGTGTCGCAGCCCCGGCAGGCTCGCCGGCAGAAGGGGCACTCGAGGGCCAGCGTGCGCGGGTGCGCCAGGGCGGCCACGCAGGCCAGGCAGACCACGTGGCCACACGGCAGGTTGCGCGGACGCCGCTGCTGGCGGGGGCCGAACCTCTCAAAGCACACCTTGCACTCCAGCAGGCTGGTCTCGGCCTCGCGCACTAACTCCTGCAGCGCCGGCGTACTCTCCGAGGCCTCCGCCCCCATGGCGCTGCCGGGCGCCGGCTGGCTGCGCTGGCCTCGGTCTGGGTCACCCGCACCGGGCGGGGCGACCGCCTGACGTGCAGCGGCTGCCAACTGGACCGCGACCTGCTGCCCCTGGTGGGCGCGTGCGGCACTGCGTCCTGAGGGCCTGATGGACCTTGGCAAGGCAATCGGCCCGCGCGTCGTGCAGCTTGTAATCCTCCCAAGAGCCCAAGATTCGTGGTCTCCACGGTACAGAGGAGAGCACACGCCTATGGAGGGCAAGTACGAGAACTAGAACCCAGGCTTCTGACGCTGGGCACAGCGGGCCAGGGCCGGCCGGAGCTCCTGACTTGTCATCTGACAGGGGCTGAGGCAGGTGCGCACTTGGGCTCTCCTATCACAATACAGTAAAGGGGCTGCTCAATGAACACTTGTAAAGTAAAAAGTGAACTTGTAAGTGAAAGAGGGAATGTAATGGGACAATGCGAGGAATAATGTCAAGCGGATTTTTTCCACGAGAATGAATATAAAATGAGAAAGCTGTTAGGAGCCAGCCAGTGGCACAACAGTTAAGGCAACTGGATCCCACATAGTCAACTACGAAGTTTGAGTCCTGGCCCCTGCACTCCTGTGTGCCCAAGATCCCAAGAGGAGAAGGGATTGCAGCATGGCCATCACCCCTAGGGGGGTGCTTTTTCACACACACACTCTCTCTGGCCCTCCAGTGAACTTAAGCACCCAACAGCAAACTTTTTTAAAAAGTGGTTATTTCACAATAATTACTACAGAATTTACCCTACGCCTGCTGTCTAAGTGGTTTACACAGATTGTCTAATTTAAACTTCGTGACAATACCCAGGGCCTGCTATGTTTGTTTTCTTGCTTCTGTGCGAGTGCTGTGTGTGCAAGGGTGCAGGTTTGGGCACACTGCAATCCTCCTCCCCCAGCCCCCTAGCCAGCTAGGGTCTTGCACCAAGCAAGTTTCAGGTCCCCAAGGGAGCCCCACTGCAGTCAGCCACGTGGCTTTCAGCACTGTAAGTCTGTGTCCTACTGCCTGAGCACTGAAGCTGGGCGGCTGTGCTGTTTTCATCATGTCTTTTCTGGAAGAATTCATAGAGGTTAAATATCTTCCCTAGGGGGACATAGCTGGGAAGTGGCTGGGCTGGAATTTGGAGCAAGGCACTTTGATCAGGACCCGCACGCTTTAACGATTCCCGTAACTATTTTCAAACTTGGTTGCACATAGTAAACACCTGGTCTCATCCCCAGTCAGGGTGTGGTCTCAGCAGCTAGGATTTATGAAAGCTGCCTAGGTGACTAATGTGACCAGGGAGACAGCCCACGGGGTTTCTACCAGGGTGTAAGAGTCATTGGCTTTGCACAGGGAAGAATTCAAGAGGCAGCCTTTGCGAGAGAAAGCCCAGTTTATTACGGAACGTGTGTAGAGCCGATCACTCCAAAGGTGCAGCAGCCTGGGAAAGCTGATGGGTGAGCAGTGTCGCCCCTCCAAGAAGAAAGATAGGAGGGCTGCCTCCCATTTTCCAGCCAACCCGGGTAGTACGGAGTGTTGTCCTGGGTACCGTGGACTGTTGCGTGCAGGCGGGTGGGCCATGGAGCACACTAGTCCAGAACAGCGAAGGCATAGCGAGTCTGAAGTTTAGACAGGGGTGGCTACAGCTGCCATCTGCTATCTCGGCTCCAACGGGCTCAGACCCAGTCTTTCAGCCGCTTCTGTCCATCAGTCTCACTGCAGGTGTTTGGAATGTCCCTTCCGGGCTCCTCCGGTCTTAGTAATGGCTGGCCTAGAGAACCATTGCACTGCGGTGACTCCTTCCCTATCACTGCCTTCAGTGCTTCCCAGCCCAGCTCAAAGCAAAACCAGAGAGGATTGCTGTCCATAGGGGTCATCAACAGGAGGTGCATATTCTCCCTCAGGAACCCACTGTGGTATCATGGTCTCATTCTCAGAGTTCCTCCCACATGTCTTCTGCAAAAGCGTCTATTAGATCATTTCTGCTCAGTTAGGGATCATGATCACTCACCCTCTTTTCTTTTTTAAAATAATTATCCTATTTAATTTCATTTATTATTATTATTATTTTAAAATTTGACCAGAGAGAGAGATAAAGAGTGAGAAAGTGAGAAGCAAGCCACGAGGTCTGGGACTCAAACTGTGGTTGGCCATGTGGGAGTCCAGTGCCTTATGGGTAAGGCACCATGGCACCTGTAGGCCTCCATTCACTCTTAAGTGGTATACTTCTGAGCAAACAGGGGATTTTATTCCTCATTAAAGCCCCTAGAGAGAGTTTGAATGTAAGATAAGAAAGAACATTTTCTTAGTAAGTGTTGCATGGTACGAAGATTTCCTAGTAACCAACCAAATACTGCATTTTCAGTACTTTTCCATTCCACATACATTTCTAGTGAAAATCACATCGTATCACATATATAATTCTTTCTGAAGTAGTGTTTAAATCAGGAAATACTTTCAGAATGCCAAAACCGGAATATTTTTAGAACTAGTATTATCTAATAGAAATATAGGGGCCAGTGGGTGGCACTGTGGTTAAATTGGCTGGATCCCACATGGCTGACTATGCAGTTCATGTCCCAGTCCCAGCAATGTGAAAACACACCAGGTGGGGCCAGCAGATGGTGTAGTGGTTAAGGTGCTGGACTCCCACCAGGCTAACCACAGTTCCAGTCCAAGACCCAGAGGCTTGAAACTCATGTCAGGTACATGTATGTGTATGCCCAAATCCCAGGAAGGGAAAGGAGAAAGGATGCGGCGTGGCATCCCCTCCACCCCAGGGGTGATTTCTTACTTTCTCTCTGTTTTTCCAGTGAATGCATGTGCCCTATTGCAAAAACCTCTCTTTCAAAAAGAAAAGAAAAGAAAAGAAAAAAGATAAACACACCAGGCATATATGTGTATGTGCTCAAAATCCTGAGAGGAGGGAACCAGCAGTTAGCGTAATGGCTATGTCGCTGGACTCCCACGTAGTCGACCGCGGTTCGTGTCCCGGACCCGGTGGCTTAAAACTCACGCCGGGCGCGTGTGCGTGCGTGCCTAAGATCCCGAGAGGAGAATGGAGGAGAAGGGATTGCGGCGTGACCATCCCCCCTGGGGGGTGATTTCTCGCTTTCTGTCTCTATGTTTCTCTCTGTCTGTCTGGCGAGTGCACGCGCCCTACAGTGAAAATCTCTCAAAAAAAAAAAAAAATCCTGAGAGGAGGATGGAGGAGAAGAGAATGTGGCATGACCATTGCCCTGAGGGGGAGGGGGATTCTTACTTTCCTTCTCTCTCCCTTTTCTTTCTTTCTGAACAAATCTGAGGTTACACAGTCAAAAATTCATGTGTCTTCCCCAAAACTAAAGTACTAACTAATAGCTTGCTGTTGGCCAGGAAACTTACCTAACATAGTCAATTAAGACATACTTTGCATGTTATATGTAGTATATACTGTATTCTTACAGTAAGCTAGAGAAAAATAAGGAAACCATAAAGAAAATCTCTTTGCAATATTTATTGAAAGAAACAATCCATGTGTAAGTGGATCAGGACAGTTCAAACCCATACTGTCCAAGAGTCAACTATCGGGTCATTGGGAAACTCCTGATGTATTTTTTATGCAAAAATGCATCATGTGTTTCCAAAAAAATAATATAATATTTAACTTTCTAGTAGCCACACTTTTCCTCTTTTTTTTTTTTTTTAAGAGAGACTTTTGCTATAGGGCATGTGAGCTCGCTGGAGAGACAGAGACAGAGAGTCACAGAGCAAGAAACCACCCCCCTAGGGAGGATGGCCACGTAGCAATCCTTTCTCCTCCGTCTCCTTTCAGAATATTAGGCATGCACACACACGCAGCCAGTGTTAGTTTTAAGCCATCAGGTCTGGGACTCGAACTGTGGTCAACTACATGGAAGTCCAGCGACATAACCATTATGCCACCTCCTGGTGCCTCTAGTAGTACATTCTTTTTTTTTTTTTTTTTTGGAGAGGTTTTCACTATAGAAAGAGACAGAGAGACAGAAAGCAAGAAATCACCCCTCAGGGGGGATGGCCACATTGGAATTCCTTCTCCATTCTCCTCTTGGGATCTTGGGCACGTATGCACATGTGCCCAGAGTGAGTTTAAGCCATTGGGTCCAGGTCCAGGACTTGAACCTCAGTCAATTACATGGGAGTCCAGTGACATAGCCATACGCCAGCGGCTGGTCCCACATTTAGAAAGCTAAAAAGGAAGTAAATGAGGGCTGGCCCCACAGCCAAGTGCTTAGAGGAGGCTAGATCCCACGTGGCCAACTATGCAGTTTGAGTCCCATTCTAAACTTGCTGGGGATGTGTACATGCATGCCCCAAACCCCTATAGGATGGAGACATGATCGCAGCATGACCACATTCTACGGTGGGGAGGGTGCTTTTTCATTCCCCCTGCACCCACACTCTGCTTCTCTCTAGTGAGCCTATACGCCCTCTGACAACTTTTTACTTTTCAGGTTGTTGTCACAGGTGTGTCCACTCTCTAGAGAGAGACAGAGATACAGAGAGAGAGAGAAAGTGAGAAAACACCCTCACCCCCCAGGGGATAACTACATTGCAATCCCTTCTCCATTCTCTCAGGATTTGGGGCACGCACATACATGTGCCTGGCATCTTTCCAGCTGCCAGGTCCGGGACTCGAACCACAGTCAGCCATATGGGAGCCCATCATCTTAGCCATTACACCATCTGCTGGCCACCAATAATAGTTCTTTCTTTCAATTAAAATTAAAATTTTTAAAAGAATTATTTAATTTTATTTATTCATTCATTCATTTTGACCACAGAGAGAGAGAGTGTGTGAAAGTGAGAAAGCAAGCCACCAGGTCAGGGACTTGAATGTGGTCAGCCATATGGGAGTGTCCAGTGCCTTAACCACCATACCACCTGCTGGTCCCATAATTAAAATTAAATTAAAAAAAAAAAAAATGTCTGGCTGGTCCTGTGGAGCCGGATCCCACAGAGCTGACCACGCAGTTTGAATCCCATTCCCAGTGGCTTGAAAAACATCCTAGAAGCATGTGTATGCTTGTTCCAAATCCTGACAGGATGAAGAAATGGAGGAGAAGGGATTATGGGACTGTGGTGTGACCACGCCCAACTGGAAGTGGCTTTCTCCCTCTGGCAAGTGCTCATATACCCTCTGGTAAATAAAAAAAAAAATTCAAAAGGAAACCAACTAAATTAATTTGATTGCATATTTTATTTAACCCAGATATCCAAAATACTGCCTTTCTGATATGTAAGCCATTATAAAAACATGAGTGAGTTTGGTACTTGTTCGTGTGTACAAAATGAAACCCAGTGTGTGTTTTACACTCACGGCACATTCCAGTTCACTCAGCCCCATTTCAGGTGCTCCACAACCACACACGGTGTGTGGCTCCTGCCCGGAACAGCAGAGCTTGACCATGTCTGCGCCCAGTCGGAGTTCTACTGTCTCAAGACGCGTTTCAGACTGACTTCCATGATCCCTTTGTCTGCCCGGCATCATTTAAAACTATCCAAAAATCAGGACACATGGCTAACTGTGGCTGAACTTTGACCTTCCTGGCATCCTGCCAGCCTGTCCTACCTTCTTTTTGATCCTTTGCTGTCCCCTGTAGGGCAAATGGTAGTACTACACTACCAGCTTTGGTGGCTCTGGGATTCCAGCCCAACCAATGTTCTTGGGTTTATTTATTTTTTATTTTTTAAAGAGGTTTTTGCCTTAGGGTGCATGAGCTCCAAGAGTGGGCAGACAGACACAGTGAGAGGAAAAGTGAGAATCACCCCCCAGGGGGAAGCCCACGCTGCAATCCCTTCTCCTGTATTCTCGGGAGTGCACTCACCTCTTTGGGAGTGATTTCTCCCTCTTTCCTAGGTGTGTCTCCCTCTCTCTATGGTAAGTGCATGTATCCTATAGAAAATTTGAAAAGAAAACGATTCGATCACTTAAACAGTATTAAATTAGGGGGAAAATGAAAGATGAACTCTGAAAAATGTTTTTTTAAATAATTTATTCTTATAGTTTGGGAAAATATTTTGTTTCATATAAGTTGGTTTCAGTAAAATTTTTATTTGTTCCTTGATTCTAATACATATAAAATTATATGTGGATAAAACATGTGAAGGGGTGTTAAGATTGAGTATAAGAATTTTAGTGAAAGTTAGTGTGTGATGTTTTGGACCAGCTCGAGCTGTATCCAAGCATTACATTTCTGCAGTGATTTAAAAGGTTAGGAAGAATGTCAGTTTCTGTATGTCTATTTTTTTTTCTTTTCCTTTTTTTTAGGCTCTTGCCACAGGACACACGTGCTTGTCGAAGAGAGAGAGAGAGAAGAGAAAGGGAAAATGAGAAATCACCCTCCAGGGAGGATGGACACATCACAATCCCTTCTCCTCCATTCTCGTCTCAGGATTTTGGGTACACATGCACACATGCCTGAAGTGATTTTCAAGGTGTTGGGTCTGGAACTCAAACCGTGGCTGACATGTGGGAATGCAACATCTTAACCACCACCTCACCTGCTGGTCCCATATATCTATTATATTTCTTTACATTTTATGCATTGCATTTTTCTTTTTTCCCCCCATTATACAAGTAACCAATGCTGATGTAAGATATTCTTGCAAGCTGTAAATAAATCATACAGGTGTCATCTTTTACTCCCAATCACACTCCCCTTCCCAAAGAATCTATTTTTTTTTTTTTTGAGAGATTTTTGCTTTAGGGCACACTCACTGGAGAGAGACAGAAAGACAGAAAGGATCTACCTTAATATTTTAGCATTTGTATCTTCCTAAAAATTTCTATGCATTTTTGAGGAAAAATCTATGATATGATTTATGAATAATTAAAAAACTTAAATTCATTATATTTTCAGTTCCTAGCATATTTTCAGCTGCTTAAAAAACATGTTGCTATTATTTGTGTCTCATTTACTTTTCTGTAAGTAGATATAACTTTTCAAACAGGCAGTCAATTCCCCAATTTTTATGTCGTTCTTCAAAAACATCAACATTCTCAAGACACTGGATATTGCATGCTGTACCTGGAACAGGAAGGAAGGTTTACAAGTTAGCATGTTATGAAGAATAACATCAGGGCTTCTAAAAATATTTAAGAGGATGTTAAAAACAGGGTGGGCCCCACAGCCTAATGGTTAAGGGAGCCCAATCCCACATGGCTGACTGCAGTTTGAAGCCCAGCCCTAGTGGCTTAAGAGACATGCCAGGTGTGTGCGTATGTGCCTCAAATCGCTACCGGATGGCAGAATGGAGGAGAGGAGATTGCAGTATGGCCATATTCCATTGGGCATACTTTCTCTCTGGTGAGTGCAGGTGCCCTCTGGCAATTAAAAAGAAAAAAAAGATGTTAAAAACAGTCTACTGGAAGTCTTTCTCTTCCTTTCAGTGAAAATGGGAGACACTAAGGGCAAATATTCTGACCTTTGAATTGTTATCATCTCAAAATTTCCAAGAGCAGAAATAAACACCATCTCTCTAGAAAAGTTCAAATGTCTTTAAAATAACACATATAGCTAAAAAGATATATTACAAAGGTTGGTTACTTTTCTAGGACAAAACATCCTTTAGTAAAATGGTGTCTACCTTTTAATTGGATATACCTCTGGGTACCAGTAGGTCACTAACAGTTCAAAACAGCTGACTGCTGACTTCGCTTTTAAAGTTACTGCATAGGTCTGTAACTTACCAAACAACCTTTTAACTTCGGCATCTGGGACATAAAATGGTGGGCCTGGGGAAAAGAGAAACATAGTGAGGACTCATTTTTATAAATCTAGTTCTAAAGAAAAATAAATTCTCAGGGCCTGCCTCTGAGCTTGTTTCTCATGACCTAGGTGTACTTACTGTTTCAGCTTAATTATACAAATAGGGACGAGGTGGCCTGTTCTGAGTCTTCTTTTGCAAATCTCATACCAAAGAAGTAAGTTGGTGGGCTGGCCCCACAGTACACCAGGTAAGGCTTGTGCATTGAAAGCCAGTTCCCACGTGGCCTACTGCAGTTCAAATCCTGGCTCTGGAGGCTTGGAAAACATGCTGGGTATGTGTGCCTGCATGCTCAAAAAAATCCTGACAGGCGGAGAAATGGAGGAGAAAGGATTGCAGTGTGATTAGCCCCGCTGGGGGTTGCTTTCTCCCACTCTCTTTCTGGTAAGTGCATGTGACCTCTGGCAATTTAAGGGGGTGGGAGGAATGAAAATTTATTATTCAAAAAAAAAGAAGTGAGTTGGCTTGCAGAGGGGATGGCCATGTCAGCTCCAGCTTCAGTGAGACAGACAAGCCAGCGTGGGACCTGGCAGCGTGACGCCAGAGCAGAGACTGCCAGCAGACTTCCCTGGGGTTTCCTTCACCTCTCCGGGGGTGTTGGCTTCCTGCTGGCTCCCACGCGCTCCCACTCTGCTGTGGGACACTGACTTTATAGGACCTGAACCTCTGCCCTGTGAGAGTGCCGTCTAAGCTTCCAGCCCCGTCAGGGCCTCCTGTGCCGTCTTCGCACAGACTTCCTTCCACCTGCTGTCCACGATGGGATTCAGATCCGATCCGCCGAGCTCATTTCCTCCCCCTTACTTTCTACTTCAGTCTGATCATCTCAGACTTAATTAGGGACACTAGGCTTCATCTTTTAATGATTTTAAGACTTAATTTGTTCAAACAAAAAATTGGTAGCATGTGTCAACATTTATAAAAGAAGGCACTTTTTAAGCAAGTTCAATGAGAAATAAAAAGTGAACTTTTATAAATCAAAAGTCCATGTATTTGATTTTCACTTCCTCCTGAAAATCAAAGTCCCGCCACAGCCCAGCCACTGGGTAGATGCTGTTCGGCAGACCGAGGCCACCCTAAAAAGCTGGCATGTGACATGGGCCTGTAATCTTGGCTACTTGGGAGGCTGATCAGAGCAAGACCCTGTCTAAAAAAATAAAAAAGAAGTCCAGCCATGACAGATGTTAAGTTTCAGTGTTTTAGTGCACCAGAATGAGCCTAGGAGCTGGCCGGCGGCAGTGGTAACACAGCACTGTGCGAGGCTGACCAGCAGGGGAAGGCTCTGGGCTCCTGGCCAGAGACTCCCAGTGCATGCTGGGTGTGCGAGTGCCTGTGATCCAGGGCTGGCTGAGGCTGGGGGTGCACTGCAGTCTCAGGACCCTGCTGGCGGGTGCTGTCTCTCTCTTTCTCACTCATAGAAAAAAGAAATATATAAATTTAAAAAGACTGAGTCCATCAGAAAACATTCCTTCTACGATTTAAAACGAATAGAATTATAAAAGAACATATTTGCTAATTTCAGAAATCAAGAAAGCTGCAACACTTTAGAGGTTTTCCTGCACGACCCCTACTGCTGTATCCGCAGCTCATTCTGGCCCTCTCTGGAGGTTGTGCGTGTGTGTGATTGTGTAGGCATCCGGCTGCCACTGCCACCGCGGATGAGGTGGACAGCAACATCCAGGCCAGGGCAGCAGCACTCTCCTTCCTCCTGTTCTGGTGCTCATGAGGTTCTTGTCTATGTTAGGGCCATCCACACCCCCCACACCCACCTTTTATAGTTAGAGCTATGCATGGAGAACAAAACGGGGGAAGGAAATTTAAACATGTATCGTGTGGCCCAGAGAGAATGGCCTTCAGGGGTATGAGCAGTCAGCTTCCTGTGAGACACAGCAGGAGAAGCTAACACTCCCCAGGCCGTAGGCCTGATCTGAAGCTAGGCAACAGGACAAGAGCACCAGCCACTTTACCTGCGTGTTTAGTTGGATCATAACATAAGACAGACAGGAGGTAGTGAAATCCTTTCCTCAGTATGGACAGCATTATACCTGTGTAGCTAAAAAGACGACGAGAAGGTCCGTGTTACATTTCTTTTCTTTTTTTTTTCTTCCTCCCTCCCTTCTCCCCCTCCCTCCCTCCTTCCCTCCCTCCTTCCCTCCCTCCTTCCTTCCCCCCTTCCTTCCTTCCTTTCTTTCAATTTTATCAGAGAGAGGGACAGAATGAGAGAGAGTGAGAGGAAGAGAGAGCAAAGTGAGAAGGCAAGCTGCCAGGTCTGGGACCTGGACTGCGGTCAGCCGTGTGGGAGTCCAGCGCCCTAACCATGCCACCTGCCGGCCCCCATGTTACATTTCTGTACACAGGCAAAGGCTGGAGGGGATGAGGGTCAGGACAGGACATTACTAAGTTTAATTCTCCTACCAATCACATGAAATTGATTCTCATTTTAAAAATTTATTTAAAAATATTTTTTGAGAGCTTTTTGCTATAGGGTGCATGCGCTCGCCAGAAAGAGAGAGACAGAGAGACATAAAATGAGAAATCATCACCCAGGGGGAATGGCCACACCGTAATCCCTTCTCCTCCTTTCTCCTCTTGGGATCTTGGGCATGCACGCACACGTGCCCGGCATGAGTTTAAGCCACCGGGTCTGAGACTTGAACCACAGTCGAGTACATGGGAGTCCAGTGACATAGCCATCATCCCAACTGCTGGTCCCCTATTTTTTAATTTACTTTTTAAAATTTTGCCAATCTGTGCCTTGGCAGTTAAGGTGGCTGGGTCCCACATGGCCATCCCAACTGTGAGGCTTGGGTCCCAGATGCAGCCCTGAGAAACACAGAGTGCGTGAGTGCGTGTGTGCGTGTGCCCAAAGCCCGGAGAGGAGGGAAAGTCCTGGAAGGCTCAGAGGGAGAATCACAGTGAGACCCTACTCAGTGCGCTCCTCTCTCTCCATTTTATTTTATTAACATCTATTTCTCAGGAGAGAAAAAGATGTTAATAAAATAAAATGGACCAGCCCCATGGCCTAATGGTTAAGAGAGCTGGATTCCATGTGGCCAACTGCACAGTTCAAATCCTGGCTCTGGCAGTTTGAAAAAAATGCCAGGCATGTGTGTGCATGCCCTAAGTCCTAACAGGGTGGAGAAGTGGGGAGAAGGGTTTGCAGCATGGCCAGGTACTAGGGGTGCTTTTTTCTTCTCCCTCTCTCTTTGGGAAGCACATGCGCCCTTGCGAAATTTATTTTTTTGCGCTCATTGGAGAAGAGATGGTGTAGGTAGTAAGAAAGCATAACCGCTCCCTTCCCACAGGGAATGGTCATGCTGCGATCCCTTCTCTCTCTCCCCCTCCTCTCTGGGTTTCAGGCATGAGGGATCCCCTCCCTTAACCACTAGTCTACAGGGCTAGCTCATGCTTCTCATTTTGAAAGCAAGAAATGGGCTTAGCCAATTATGTGTCCTGCCTAAGCTGGGAAATGGGAACTATATGAGAATGCACAGAGGCTGGGTTTGAGAGCCAGTCAGACCAGAGGACATCACTTACGGATAAGCACAGGCCTTCAGCCTGACACAGTACTTGGGGCTCTGGTGACCTTGGACATGAACTTCCTGAAGGACTGCCATGCTCCAGGGCAGTCGTTCCAGGTCAGTCTGGGTAAAAGAACCAGCTGGCTTGAACTCTGTCCTGACTGAAGATTCAGGCGACTTGTGGTGGGGCCTGGGATGCTGTAGTTTCACAAGTGCCCTGGCAGCTGGGACTGCTTTAGGGGCATATGGACGTGACGTGAAATAGTCCCTTTCCTCTAGGAGAGGCCTTCAATAAGTTCATGGAAAATGTGTATCTCAAAAAATCTATGCATGGATTTCAATTTTGTTTTTGTGCCAAAATAAACTCATGGTTCCAGTTTTTCATGAACTTTTTTTTTTTCAACTTCATTTATTTATTTAAATTTGACCAGAGAGGGAGAGAGAGAGAGAAAGCAAGCCACCAGGTCCAGGACTTGAACCATGGTCGGCCATGTGGGAGTCCAGTGCCTTTAACCACCATGCCACCTGCCAGCCCTTCATGAACTTTTTAAAGATCCTTGTATTTAGCTAGAGAAAGATATGACTACCAAGCAGGCAGATATTCAAAGTGATTAAACCACATTCAAGGCTGTGAATGTGGTTTAAACCACGAATGCAGGCCAAGACTGCTGGTGGGCCTGTCCCTTGAACAGACATCTCAGAGAGCAGGTAACTTGATGTCCCAGCTAGACATGTCCGATGAGTTCAGAGTGGGGACTTGACCCTAATCGGACCCTTCAGGGCACTGACTGGCAGCCAGGCTGGGCTTGGTTCAGAACAAGGAGTGGACAGTTGGGGGACTCCACCTGGCACTGTATGAAGAGGCCAGAGAGGAGCTGCCTGCTGGCTTGAGGCCTCTGTACAGAGCAGGGCCTTCTGGGCAGCATGGTGGGTGCAGCTGAGGCTGAGGCTGTCACGGCCATGTGGGAACTGAGTGGCATACACAGAGGGCCAGAGGAGATGTCTCGTACACAGGCAGACAGGGACAGCCGAGAGAAGTGGCCGGAGCTGCCTGCTCCAAGGGAGGCATCTGTGCCTTGTTGTTACGGCTGCCACACAGCCTGGCTGGACTTTGACCCTGTCCAGAGTCCCGCGGGAAACCAGGGAGGCCGTGCGTTTGGAGTCGGGAGTGGACTTTGTGCAAGCCTGAGCTCAAACCTAACCTTTCCACGTACGGGCCTTGTAAGCGTGGTAACTTCTTGACTTCCGTGTGACTCAGCTTCCTCACCTGTAGTGGGGACGAGACTAACAGGTCCCTCAGAAGTTGCTGTGAGAACAGAACTCACACCCGTGAAGGGCTTAGTGTTGCTGCACTGTCAGAATGCAGGCTTAGCTCTGCCGTTCCCTTTTGCATTTCGACATCAACTCCCCTTCCTCAGAGCAGCTGGAGGGGGGCCTTGTGAGCAAAAGCAGCAGCCCAGAGTGCACTCGTGAGCAGAGACCTTTCCAATCTTGTTCTTACAAAGGGGTGGGAGAGAACGTGCTGCCTCGAGGAAGGTGATCAGCCGGACTGTTCAGCGGGGTGCCCTAGGACTGACAGAGCTCATCCCTCATGAGATGGGGCTTTCTCAACCCTTCTTACAAATTCAGAAAAGTGAGTTGGGTGTGCCCCACTGACTGGTGTTAGGCAAGAGACTTGATGGTCACATCCGTGCTTGGGCTGCCTCCACGGCCTGGTGATGGCAGCTGGATCGTACATGGCCAACCCTGAGGTTTGTGCTCCAGACCTGGAGGTTGGAGATACATGCCAGGCTTGTGTGTGCCTGCCCAAAATCTCAAAGGGAGGCAACAATGGAGAAGGGCCTATGGTGTGACCATTCCCTGGTGCTATCTCCTCTCTCTCACTCTCTCTGTGTCTCTCTGGTGAGTGCACATGCCCTTTAGTGAGAAAAAGGAAACAGTGGGCCAGCAGGTGTGTGAAAGTTAAGGTGGCTGGATCCCACTTGGCTGACTGTGTGGTTCAAGTCCTGGACCTGGTGGCTTGAATATCAAGCCAGGCAGGGCCAGCAGTGGTGTGGTAGGTAAGGCATTGGACTCCCACATAGCCAACTGTAGTTCAAGTCCTGGACCCAGTGGTTTAAAAAATCACACTGGGGGTGCATGTGTGTATGCCCAAAATCCTGAGAGGGGAATGGAGGAGAAAGGATTGCAGCATGGCCATCTCCCCTGGGGAGTGCTTTCTCACCTTCCCTTCCTCTCTCTCTCTGTCTCTCTCTGTCTCCCCAGCAAATGCTTGCACCCTGTAGCCAAGCTAAAAACAACAACAAAAGAAACATATCAGGACTTAACAGTGTGCAGTCCAAGTGGAAGATGCTGGAACGAACAATATTTAGATAGAGCACCAATACACCAAGCACTGAGATACTGAGTATCAGAGTAAGTAAGTGTTGGTAACAGAGCCAGCATGTTCTCAGGGTGCATGGGGCTGTGACAGCACACGCCAGCGTATGTACATGGCTGGGAGGGGAGGTGTGAGGCGGGGCGGAAGAGCTAAGGAGGACATAGAGTCTGTGGATGAGCTGGAACTGGAGTTCTTGCGTGAGAGTTCCAGAGGGTCTGCGAATTGTGTAGAGCATGAATTAAACAGTTCAGAGGTCGCTTAGATGGCTTTTACTGTCAGACAGAAGAGGGCAGGCTGGCAGGAACAGTGTTACTTCCCTCACTGAGTCCAGTCCGCTTTTATTCACTCACTCAACAACCACTCCCTAAGCTCCCACGTATATGCCAAGTCTACACCACGCCAGATGCAGGGACATGACCAGCCTCGTGTGCACAGTCAGCCCCTGGTCTGCACTTGGTGACTTCCATTGCCCTCCACTGGCTTGTAGATTTTACCACACAAACCAGAGCCCCGCAGGACTGACCTCAGAGAAGAGAGTGACCCTCCCTAGGGAGGGGACCCTACACATTATACGAGTGTCATGTACACATGTGGTGTTCTCTGGAGACTAAGTGTCCTTGGGCAATACTCTGAGTTAATAAAGGACACTGGTATCACATGGAAAATGCAAAACAGACCTAGAAATGTACGTAGATGTTTGAGAGAAAGAAGAGCTAGAAATACAGAAATTATAAGGCCAAATACGATACAGACGTGTTCGAATATCCCTAGGTCTGGCATAGGATACTGCGTGTTCAGAACACACTGTGAGTAAATATTTGTTGGATAACCAAATGACAGTCATAGGAGAACTGAAGTGACATTAAAGGACAAGGCACAAGCGAAAAGCCAAAGGCTGTGGATGGGAGCCAGCAGGTGGCATGGAGGTTAAGGCAGCTGGGTCCCACATGGCCGACTGTGCTATTCAAGTACTGGACCCAGAGGCTTGGGAAACATGCTGGGCACATGTGCATACGTGCCCAGAACCCTGAGAGGAGAAGAGAGGAGAAGGGATTGTGGTGAGGCCAACCCCCCCCCCCACCCCGGGAGGTGATTTCTCACTTCTCTCGCTCTCTAGCTCATGTGTGTGCCCTCTGCCAAATTAAAAACAAAAGAAAAAAGGAAACCGAATTACCGTTCACGATCACCTGGATTAACAGCGACAAATGCTCCTCGATCCCAAATCCTGTCAAATTTGCCAATATTTGTTCTACCAGAAAGAAAGCAGACACAAGTGTAACACGCACTGTTAGGAAAATCGCACTTTTAACAAGAAGAGGGTTCCTAGCGCAGCTGGTACTTCGCCTGTCAGCAGGGAGTGGGAAGCTCAGCTCTGCCTTTCCAGCTGGCTACAGGGGGCTGCGGACCTGGGTGTGGGGGTCTGCCCATCTCCTCATGTTAGGAACCCGTGGCTGCAGCCCCTGGTCCTGCTATGACTCCGGAACACACAGGAGGAACAAAACACAGCGTGTGTCGCCTCTGCTCCCAGTCCTGGCTCAGGGATCAGGGACTTTCAGGAGATGGCATCTGGCCTCTTCCGTACTTCCAATGCCTTTCTGTTAAAAGCCCAGGTGCAGGGAGGAAGACGCTGTCAGGACCTCCCTCCCTTCCCCACCTGCCTCTGGTCATAATGAGGTTCTAGTTGGGGAGCTGTGCACATTGAGGACAAATGTGTACACTGAGGCTGTGCTGTGATGAAAAGAACAGACTCCGATCACCGACTCAAATCGACGACACTACGCAAGACGCTGAGGGTGACGAAGAGCCCCACCTCCATGCTTAGCAAATGCAGTTTCAGAAGCACAAATGTGGTATTTAGTCCTACCTGGGAAGATCAAAAATGTTGCAACAGTACAATGAGATAGTCCCCGAAGAACTCTGTAATGAAACAATGAGAAGAATTTTTTTCTATCTTATTAGGAGATACTCAAATGAGCAAGCAAAGATGGTGGAAGCAAAGCAAGGGTGGCAGAGAAAATGCATATTAAACATTACTGCACAGGGGCCAGGTGGCAGTGCAGCTGGCCCACTGGTCAAAGTTCTCGGTCCGTGTCGGGACCTCCTTGAACACACCAGGCACATTTGCGTGTGTCTGTGCTCTGGCCTGGGAGAGAGGGTGCACTGTGGTGTAAAGATCCTGTTAGGGCTCTCTCTCTCATGGAAAGAAAAAAAATAAAATAAAAGCGAAATAATTTCACTGCACTTAAACAGCACCTTATTTTTTGTGTTTTAAAATCTATGTGGGATTCTTTTAGGTCAAAGAGGAAAATCATAAAGAGGGCAGTTCTAAAGATCAGTTAGTTATTACTCACTTCCGAGCTCGTTAAAATTCTAGGAATGTTTACTTGCACACAGCCCTGATCTTTTGACTCTGCTAAAGATAACTGTGCAGGTCAATCAATTACCAGGTACGCTGATAGAAACAGCCGGATATTTTTAATTATTCAGGAAGCATACAGTTCAGCTGCCTCCCTTTTCCTCTCTCAGTCAACTGATGAGTGTTTATTTATGAGCACCCAGTGGGCAGGACCATCCTTGGGTCTAGATAGTGCATGTGAACAGACGCAGTCCACGGCACAGTGACATGGCCTGCAGCAGAGAGGCATGGGCACAGAGAGACGTTACCATAAGGACGGCCGTACCCTCAGGGTTGTGTGCCCAAGAGCTCAGAACAAGGAGACAGTGGGGCACTGTTGGGAGCCTCAGGGAGGATAGAACCAGGTGGCTTTTGGAGGGTATCTCGGTGCCTCTGCTCACAATACAGGGGTACACTGTGGGGGCGCACCCTAGGGAGAATAAAATGACATGTACGTGGGAAGTCTGGGAGCTAGGGTGCAGGGCAGGCTGGGTTTCATTCTGAAATGATGCGCCAGGTTTGCTAGCTGAGGAGGAAGGGTCTTTGAAGACCAGCCTGGAAGTACTCTGGAATAAGCCCAGAGAGGGAACTTCGAGGCAAGGAGAACAGCCTGGGGGTTTCAACGTGGCTGCAGACTGAAATAGCTGGGTGCTTTAAAGGGCACCGACGCTGGGCCCCACCCCTGTAGACTCTGGTTCAGTTGGCCTGGGTGAGACCTTAACACTGGGAATTTTTTTTTTTTTTTGAGACGTTTTCGCTATAGGGCATGTGCTCGCCAGACAGACAGAGAGAGACATAGAGACAGAAAGCGAGAAATCACCCCCCAGGGGGGATGGTCACACCGCAATCCCTTCTCCTCCATTCTCCTCTTGGGATCTTGGGTGGGCACGCACACGCGCCCGGCGTGAGTTTTAAGCCACTGGGTTCAGGACGCGAACCGCGGTCGACTACGTGGGAGTGCAGCGACATAGCCATTCGCTAACTGCTGGTTCCCAACACTGGGAATTTTTAAACGATGCATGGCAGATTTTAAATGTGCAGCTGGGGCTGGAAACCATTGCTCCAAGAAGAGTCTGGGAGCAGGACGAGCCTCTTTGGACTAAATAAACTCCTTGGACTCTTGAATGATTTGAGAGCAGAGTGGGAGGAAGCTGTAAAATGAAGTGATCCCAGGCTTTCTACTGAGCTGAGCGAGTCATCTAGGAACAAGTACCTTGTCACACACCGAGTATATGGACGGACAATGGCCAGACTGTTCATGAACTCTGACCCACGACCTCTGCAGCAACCAGCCTGGGGAGGCAAAGCACACTGTGCAGTGACCTGCCGATGCCCGCCATCTTCCCTAACCTCTACCACTCCTGCGCCCATCGCGGGGCCAGCCAGAGGAAGCCAGCCACGCTCTCCGGCCTCATCACAGAGGATGCCGTCCGTCATTGCCCGCCTGCGGCCTCCCAGTGTCACAGCCTCCAGTCAGCACACAGCTGCAGCCTCTGCATCTGTTCCCACGAAGCTTTCCCACCCCACCGCCTGCCTGAGTCTCTGCCAGACACAGTGCTGACTCCTTCAGAGCAAACCGCTTCTGCCTGTTCTCATTTGGGTGGTGCTTCAGTTAGAATGTGTTCCCCGAAACTCGTGTCCAAATTTGTCTGTTACTGTGATAATATTAAGAGGGTGGAAACTTAATCCAACCATGCTATTAAGAGGTGAGGCCTTTGGGAGGTGGTTAGGGTTAGATAAGGTCATAAGAGCGGGAAGCTCAGGAGTGGGTACTGATGGCTTTATAGGAAGAGGGACAGACACACGGACAGCTGCTCTTGCCCCTTACTGTGTGCCACTGGGAATCTGCAGAGGGTCCCAATCAGCAACACGGCCCTACAAGATATGGCCCCTCAACCTTGTAGCTTCAGAATTGTGAGCTGAATAAGCCTTTTTTTTTCTGGAGAGGTTTTTGCTATAGGGTGCATGCACTCACCAGAAAGACAGAAACAGAGAGAGAAAGCAAGAAATCGCCCCACGGGGGAATATCCACACCACAATCCCTTCTCCTCCATTCTCCTCTCAGGATCTTGGGCATGCACGCACACACGCCTGGCGTGAGTTTAAGCCACCGGATCTAGGACTCAAACCGTGGTCAACCACATGGGAGTTCAGCGACATAGCCATTACGCCAACTGCTGGTCCTGGCCTTTATTCTTTATAAATTGCCCAGTCTATGTTATTAGGTTATAACAATAGAAACGTGAACTAAAGAGGTGGTATTTATTTCCTTGTTATCCCCATGCTGGTCAGTGAGTCCCACTGGATCATTCTGGCCATAAGAGGACAACTCCCAGATCTGTCATTTCCAGTCCAAGCACTGCCCTGCACTTCAGAGACAGAAAACCATTTGCAGCTACACCTTTGCCATTCCACAGGTCCCTTAAACTCATCATCTATGGAACAAAACTCATTTTCTTTGCTCTTTGACTTGCCTCTCCTTTAATTTCTACCATCCAGCCAGTCTGCTGAGTTAGAAATGTGAATCATCACCCCTTGATCCCCACTCAGTCACTAAATCCTACCAGTGAGACACGGCAAACACAGCTTTAATCCACCCTGTGTGCTTTGTATACTCATCACTCTGCTTGCTCAGAAATTTCTGGTCTATTTTCTGGATCATTGCCAGGGCCTCCTATCTGGTCTCTGCTGGGAGGCAACTTCCCTTCAAATTATTCCCTGTGAGGCCTTTTAAGAATAGTATGTAGTGACATCATGATTCACTAAAACCCTTAGCACAGACTGAAATACAAGGTATCGCTGGGGGCTGGGTTGCAAGACCTCTGTGGATACCAAAATCCACGGATGCTCAAGTCCCTTCCATAAAACGGCACAGTATTTGCCTGTAACCCACACATCCTCCTGCAAATATTGCGTAGTTGTTATGTTGTATTGTTTAGGGAGGATGACAAGAAAATATGTCCTGTTTAGAAGAGACACAACACCATAGGCCTACCTACATAGGACACTTCCATGACAGAGGGACACTGTCACAGCTGGTTGAGTGCATGGGTGACAGTACTAACTTCCCAGGCACCTGGGATCAGGGACTTGAGCCCTGCCTGTCTCCAGCCTTCTCTGTCCTCATGCTTCAGGGCTGGGCTGGGCAACGCTCCTGCCTGTCCCCTTAATACTCTACGTCGTTACACTTGGCAACATATATCATAAATGGCTTTGTCCTTGTTTCTTTTCCCTGCTAAACTAAGAGATTCTTTCGGGTAGGAAGGAACTCTGTGGTCTTTATCTCTCCAATGTCTTAATCAGAGTCTGGTCTACAATAGGTTCTCAGAATATGCCTGTTAATAAAAAAAAAAAAAAAAAAAAAGAAAGAAAGAAAGAAAATTTGAAAAAAAGGCCAGCAGGCGGTGGTGTGGTGTTTGGTGGGTACGGCAGCTGGACCCACGTGGCCGACTCTGAGTCCTGGGCTCAGCAGCCTGAGAAACATGCTGGGCATGTGTGCGTACCCAAAATCCAGAGAGGAGAATGGAGAAAGGATCTGCAGCGTGCTCATCCCCCCAGAGGCATGATTTCTCACGTTCTTCCTCTCTAACTCACTCCCTCTAGCCTCTCCAGGGAGCGGGCATGACCTGCAACAGAAAACAAACGAAAAACCCACAAACCCCCAAAACAGGAATAAAGTGGCCTTGACTTTAGCTTTTATATTCGTATCTATTTAGCTAGCTAGTATCTATCACCTATTTTTTTTTTCATGACAGAAAGTATGTGTGTGTGAGAGATAACTCCTCTTTTTTTTTTTTTTGAGAAGTTTTTGCAATAAGGCGCGTGTGCTTTCCAGACAGACAGAGAGAGACAGAGAGACAGAAAGTGAGAAATCACCCCCCAGGGGGGATGGCCACGCCGCAATCCCTTCTCCTCCATTCTCCTCTTGGGATCTTGGGCATGCACGCACATGCGTCCGGCGTGAGTTTTAAGCCACTGGGTCCGGGACTCGAACCGTGGTCGACTACGTGGGAGTCCAGCGACATAGCCATTACGCTAACTGCTGGTCCCGAGAGAACTCTTAACAGAGTTGGGATCCTGGGTGCCTGCACACATGCTTCAAGTGTTTTTTCAGGCCAACCCAGGATCTAAACCATGCTCACCCCATGGCTTCCAGCACCGCAGGGAGCCAGCGCTGTCACGGCTAAGCTCTTCATGAGCACTACACTGTCTAGGTGAGTCGTTGTGATAAGGAGGCACCATCCGGCCCTTGCATTCTATCCTTATTTACACACCCGAGAAAAACCTTTTCTGTGGGAGTATGAACACAATTATTTACCAAAGTCAAAACAAACCTTAAATACTTTGCCTCCAGGAATTTCAACAATTGGTTCTTCTGAATAAGAAAGATTCTGCTCCATAAAAAATTCCCGTATCCCAAGTTCACTGATTTCCACACCAACTACACTGTGTCCCAAGTCTGCAAACCTGCATTTAAAACACACAAATCACACACTTAAAATTTTATTTCAAATCCATCACCAAATAAAGATGTATACACTTTTAAACACGCCTTTTTCCTCATTTAAAGGGATTTATATGAATTCAGGGTCAAGGACTTCCACAGGATGTAGGAAAGCAGATCTACATATTCTCAGTCCTCAGATTGAATAGGATTCTGAACGATCGACTTTATGACCTTGGGAACAATGACATTTTGGAAACTTAGATATTAAAACACTGATTTAATACCAGTGGATTTGACTACTGGAAATGCTCTTTCATTTCTCTAAACCCTCATGATTACTAACATTTTCTATGAGGAAGCAGGTGTCTATGTCTGTGCTGTTCAATACATTAACCACACTGGCTAGTGCCCACCAGAGGTGTGGCTGGTATGACAGAGAAACAATTTTAAATCTCATGTAGTTTGGATTCCAAGAGCTACATGTGTCTCGTAGCGACTGTATTAGAGAGCTGAGCTCTAGAATATTAGTACCCATCTCTATAATAATCTTAGCATTTCCGTGTCCTTACAATGAACACTATCAAAAAATTTATCTATCTATCTATCTATCTATCATCTATCTATCTATCTGTCTTGTCTTTTTATAGAGGTTTTTGCCACGGGTCATGCGCACTCACCAGAGACAGAGAGAAAGGGGGATAGCACCAAAGCAAACCGCCAGGTCCAGTACTTGAATCGTCAGCAGCTGGGGAGTCCAGCACCTGAACTACCACACCACCTGCTGCCCACCCCCCCAAATCTACTTATCTTAAACATCTCATTTTAATACTTTCCGGCCTTAGCTTGTGGTCAGTTTATTTACTCACATATGATGTCTGTTTTGACCTGAATGTATAGATTAGTTATATAAATGAAAACGCTTGTAATATAATAACTTCCATGCAGGGCTGGCAGGTAGTGTGGTGGTTAGGGGCACTGGACTCCCACATGGCCAACTGCGGTTTGAGTCCTGGACCTGGCAACTTGCTTTCTCACTTTCCCTCTCTCTCGCTCTCACTCTGTCCCTCTCTGGCCAAATTTAAATAAATACATAAATAAATAAATAAAGTTAAATAAAAGTAATTCTTTAAAAAATATAACTTCTATGCAATTACAGCAGCTCAGCTCTGACACTTTTAGTACAAATGGCTTTACCCCAGATATGCAACAATTACATCTCACGGTCTCTTTCATCATAGTGTTTTCTTTAATGTGTCAAAACCTCGCTCAGGCTACATTGTTACCATTTATGACAGCACCCTAAGTCAAGCTGTTTCTAGAGTTACTATTTTTTGTAGGTAGTTTTTGAAGCAACTCTCTCTTCTGGTTCAGTGAGTGAGTTAGGATATACAGGGGTCCAGCTGTTGGCATGGAGGCTAAAGCAGCTAGATCCCACATGGCCCACTGAGTGGTTCAAATCCCAGACATGGCAGCTTGAAAACCATGCTGGGAGAGTGTGTGTGTGTGTGTGTGTGTGTGTGTTCACGTGCGTGCACTTGAATCTTAAGTTCTAAAAGCCAGTTAACACCCAATGTCAGCTACATGTTGATATTGTGTAGCATGGCTACAAAAATTCCACTACCTCTACTTAAAAATTAACTACAAATGCATGCATGTTCTGTGAGTCAGCCACTGATATTTGCACAGGAGAAGGCTTTTTGAATTGATATTCCAACTGAGTTCTATAGACAATGACACTGAGGCTTCTGACTTTAGAGTAATAGTGACTTGAGCATTACGTGAGTTATCTTTGTAGAGAATCACTCTCAAGGAATACTTTCTCCATCACTGGTTTTGTTTACAATTTTTTTAGAAAGAATTATTTCATTTAGCTTTATTTATTTATTTATTTGCTTATTTATTTACTTCAGTTTGACCAGAGAGAAACAGAGAGAGAGAGAAAGAGAAAGCGAACAGCCAGGTCTGGGACCCAAACCGCGGTCGGCCACGTGGGAGTTCAGCACCCCTCACCACTGCTGGCCCTCTGTCACTGGTCTCCTAACAGTAATTCAGGTAACAAGTATTCCTATGTGCTCATGGAGAGACAGTTGAACTGAACAGCAGGCTATACACTGTCCTGCCTGAAAATTGTAATTAATTTTGAAGTTTTCTGTCCACCGCCATTTCAAATACCCCAAAATTAATTTAGCTAAACTTCTTTTTTTTTTAAAGAGAGTTTTTTTGTTATAGGGCACATGTGCTCACTGGAGGGCAGAGACAGAGAGACAGAAAGCGAGAAATCACCCCCCAGGGGGGATGGCCACACCACAATCCCTTCTCCTCCATTCTCCTCTTGGGATCTTGGGCATGCATGCTGGGTCCTGGGGTGGCCATGTGGAAGTCCAGCGACATAACCATTACTCCATCTGCTGGTCCCAATTTAGCTAAACCTCTAAGCCACCTATAAAAACAGCCTGGAGCCATGTGGTGGCATGGCAGTAACATAAATGATCCCACATGGGCAGGGTCCTGCGTCCGCATTGTGGGACCTCCGGAGGTGCCAGGTGTGCACACGTGCCCATGATCCAAGCCGGCTGAGACTAGGGGCAGACTGTGGCCTGGGGAACCTGTTGGGGGATTATGCTGTATCTGTCTCATGGAAGAAATAAACTTAAAAAACAGAAAATTAAACCACGCACAAAACTCCAAAAGTAAGAGGGAGGGCTGGTTTTCTTCTCCCCCAATGGTTCCAAACGAATTATTGTTCTTCAAAACTCAATACAGAAACACTAGGTCATACCTGTTTCTGTTCCATTTCTCACTGTTTGAGAGTATTATCTCCAATTTTGTACACATCACTAATAGTTCACTAAATATAAAGAATCCCTATGCATTTCCTGAGAATGGAATTTTCTATTTAAGAATTATTTTATTTAACTTTATTTATTTACTTATTTGACCGGGGGGCGAGGGGCGGGGAGAGAGAGAAAGTGAGAAAGCAAGCCACCAGGTCTGGGACTTGAACAGCAGTCAGCCATGTGGGAGTCCAGCACCCTTAACAACCACACCACCTGCCGCCCCTCCCCCCATATCAGAATGGAATTTTCTAACCCACGTCCTGTTAAATATTCACTCAAAGAAGTCATCATCAAGGCAAGAGAGTGTGTTCATGCCAGTCTGTTCATACCATCTCATCTCAACTGCTTTTCCGCACAGAGGAAAAAATACCCTCAGTCCACTTTGACCCTTAAGGAAAGTATCCAAGTGCTTCTTTAATAGCCTGGAGAGGAAGCCAAAAAAGAGTTTCTTGTTAGTTTGTTTTAATTAGCCCAATGCACAGAGAAAAGGAGTATGACTGTATGATACCAAGAACTTTTTAATGTGTTATCTCATTTGATATTTCCAACATTTCAGTAGACTATAATTATTATGACCTCCAGTTTACATAAGAAGAAACATAGATATAAGTGACTTGTTAAGTCACACAGCTAGTTAGTAGTAAATTTGACTTATACCCAGCACTTTCTTGATTTAGTAATTTTAAAATGTTTGGAAAGTTTTTCTTGATGTTTTGAAAATTCTTCATTAATTCTCCAAATATTTACTTCTTTCTTTCTTTTTTCTTTTTATGATGAGGAGGGAGTTCCTAAACTCAGGAACTTTTTGACCTTTATTTTATAGTAAATCCACTAAATATATATTCGGAGCCCAGAAATAGCTTCAAAAAGTATGTGTAAAAATGGAATTAAAGTGCAAGTTGGTTTTGGTCCAAAAATATTGAAAATTCATGGATACTTTTTCCATCATACACTTTTTCCATGAGCTTTTTGAAGGGGCTTTAAAATAGTTCATAAATATGTCATCAGTTGTAAGTCCTATTTATTTATTATGCACTATGGGAAGAAAAAACCCTGCCAATTAAACTGCCGTGGCATAGATGCATCCTGATTTCACAGGTGCCAAAATGGGAATGAATTAAAAACGGAAAGCCAGACAGATAGTGCACCCCACCTTATTTCTATGTGAACATCTGCTATAAACCAAACTTTGCTTACTGATGTCCTTGTTCTTGATGAAATGAAATGTTGCAGGTCACCCACTTGTCTCGCCAGTCCTCCAGAGTCAGTACTCGGCCTTTCTGTACCTCCATGTCAGGGTACTCTTCAGCACCAGGTAAAGCTCTTGCCTTGTCCATACTGTGGTAGACTCCTTTGTCTCACAGCAGATGTTTCCAGAGCTTAAGTGGAAATATGTGCGATGCTGTCATTGAAGGGCATTGGCATTCTACTGATGAACTAAATGAAAACCGATTATCCTTCACAGTGCGGCTTTCAGAAATATTTCAACATCCAATAAAAAGCCATACAAATAATTATTTCTCAGTGAGTCTGGTGGTAGAGGCATACCTCATGTTACACATTAGGAAAGATCTTTAAATAGAGCTCTTACAATAAAAGGATTTAAGTTTAAAAATGGGGAGAAGGGGTCATTCCTCAGCTTATAACTTTTCTAAGCTTAGAATTTTGTCTAGCATCTCGTTTATTCCTCCCTTTCAAAAATCTCTTTTAAAATGTACTTTTTCCTTTTATTAATGTAATAATATACACAATTTAAAGAGTTCAACAGATCTGCTATGAGCAGAGCAGTCCCCATTCCCAAACATCTGTAGCTCTCTTAGTTGAGGCTTGAAATGTCTCTCTACATCTCAAATTAGCATGCAGAGTTTGCATCCTTAGATAAGCACTTTGCTCTCTTACACTCTCGATCTCGTCGGCCATCAGATATTCTATCAGTGCGATTTTCTTGGAGAAGACTTTTCTTCCGGCTGCAGCCTCTGCTCTCTGGTCCTAGACAGCTTGTGCTCTGGGCCTCCCTTGGCCATCACTCTGGAGATGTCTCTGTTGTCTGACTCTCCTGTTTCCCTTATCCCATGTTTTCTTTTTCCTTTTTCTTTTGGTTATGCCCTTGTATTGGTGAGGCACATCCTGTACTAGCTCCCTGAGAAACGGTGCGTGGGAGAGAAAAGGTTCTTTTGACTCTGTGTCTGAAAGGTCTGTGTCCGACTGCTCCCCACCCTCCAAGCAAAGCTGGCTACAGAGTTCTTGGTGAGGAAGCATTTCCCTCACAGCTTTGAAGAAATTGCTGCAGTGTCTTCTAGCTTCCAGAGTTATTGCTTAAGTTCTAAGAAATTCTGATCCTGACAATTTTCATGTGGCAAATGTTTTTCTCTCTCTCAAAGCTTTTCTTTGCCCTTAGTTTTTGCACCTTCATAATCCTGTCCTTCACTTTGGTTCTATTTCATTATTCTTCAATTCTTGAAAAAAATCTTAAGCAATACAGATAATTATTAATGTCTCTCTCTCTCTTTCTATTTCTCTTTCTGGGTCCCCTATTATTTGTCTGTAGGACCTCTTGACCTGGCATTATAAATTTCTTATTTTTTCTATTTTCTATGCAGGTGTTGAAAAAGCAAATTATTTGTCTCTCTTCTCTCTCAACACACTTGTGAGTACTATGTAAGAAGACAAGCATTTAGCTCTCTTTCCACTTCCTAGCACATATAGCACCCTCCCATCTTTCCTGTCATTCCCAGATAGTCATAGCAGATTTTTGAAAGAGTATTCGGGTGCATATTATTATGACTTGGTAAATTACCTCTGTGATCCCAAAATATGTTAAGATTTCTCCCACCGCTAAGCAAGCAAGCCATCTTATACAGGAGAGAAAAAGCAGAGGATTTGACCTTTTCTGAACCAGAATTTCAAGCCATTCTCTTTGTTTCAACCACACCCTTCCCCTGGGAGAGGTATTGGTACTGCTAATTCCTGAGTATTTGAGGGAAACGAGTTTGCTCTTGGCTTTCTTTCTTTCTTTCTTTCTTTTTTTTTTTTTTTTTAATTTTTTTGGAGAGGTTTTTGCTATAGGGTGCGTGCGCTCGCCAGACAGAGACAGAGAGAAAGAGAAATCACCCCCCGGGGGGATGATCACGCAGCAATCCCTTCTCCTCCATTCTCCTCTGGGGATCTTGGGCACTCAGGCACACGCACCCCACGTGAGTTTAAGCCACCGGTTCTAGGACGTGAACCACGGTCAACTACATGGGAGTCCAGCAACATAGCCATTACGCTAACTGTTGGTCCCACTCTTGGCTTTCTTTACCAAGTAGGTTCAGAATTCAGCTTTCTTGGATCTGCAGAATCCTTTGCCACTCATCCATCTGCTCTCTAAATTTCAAATTTTTATTGGTTTTTGTCTCCACTGTAGTCCTTTTTGTGGTGGTTTGTATCTTAAAAAACCCTGTTATGAGACCAGCAGATGGTGGAATAGTTACATTGCTGGACTCCCACATAGTTGACCATGATTTGAGACTCAGACCGAGTGGCTTAAAACTCACACTGGGCACAGGTGCATGCATGCCCAAAATCCCAAGAGGAGAAGGGATTGCGGTATAGCCATCCTCCCAGTTGATTTCTCGCTTTCCATCTCTCTTGTTCTCTCTGGTGAGTACACACGCTCTATACCAAAAATCTCTCTTAAAAAAAAAAAAAAGAAATCCTTTTATTATGGGGGCCAGCAAGTGGCATAGATATTGAGGAAAGTGGATCCCACATAACCAACTGTGCAATTTGAGTCCTGAACATGGCTTGAAAATCACTCCAGCCACATGAGCATGCACGCCCCCAATCCTGAGAGGAGAGTGGAGAAGGGATTGCAGCGGCCATCCCCCTGGGGGGCTGATCTCTCACTTTCCCTCTCTTTGTCTCTGATTATATTGGCTCAGAAAAGCCAAAGAGACTTAGTTTCCAAGATAATTGAAGAGTAACTTCCTTATGGTGCACAAATATTAAGAATATGGCTCAGTGAATTTTTTACATGTGCCTACACCTGCATAACCACCAGAGAGCAAGGCAGACTCCTGGCCCCCAGCGCATCTCACTAGGCTTACAGTGCTTCTCCTTTCTAAAAAATGACCAGTACACAATGCTCCGGGAAAGGGCATCCACTCACCGATCTCGTAATTCCTGGTTCCCGCTTCTGCTCCTGAACCCCATTTCAGTATGGGCATTACACGCTGGTAAGGACGTCCCATTCCAGGACTCCTTTCACACTCCTAGCCAGCCCTTCCTTTTCTTACCCACAACCTCTCTGCGCCTTTGGGGAACCTACCTTGTCGGCCGTGAGTTGTCTGCCACTGTCTCCTATGCAGCTCCAGGGCCTTGGAG